CACTTTTTAGCGCGGACCCGACGTCCATATAATTGTAAGTCAGTGGTATTTTTATTGCATTGTACACAATATTATTTAGGTCTAAATGACTTCACATATTATGTAGATTGCGAAGTACATGGAATCTTAGGAGTTTATGATTCCTCAAGGTCTCCGAAATAAACAATCATTTCTTTTTTTAACTTATTTATTTAAAGTTTATTCGTTCTCCTGGCTGCGCAGGCGAGCGGCGGCGTTGGTGACCCTGATGCTGAGCTGCTGAGCGCGCTCCACGATGGTCTTGCGTTTTTTCGAGGAGACGCCGTGGGCGATCTCTGCGCAGTACTTCCTGTTCTGCATCATTAGGATCTCTAGCTCGCGGACATTGTGGACCAAGACCTGGGTACAAAACAAAAATTTTGTGTTGACATAGACGCTACAAACATCGAAATGAGGCGTCGAGTATATCACCAGAAATGGAGACGAAATGTCATTTCATTTGTTTGAAAATTATTCTGCCAAATCATTACGGTAAGAACTGCACTCCGATTTAATATTTAATTATCGATGAAATGAGATTCCGTTGATTTTGTAATTAGATGTTTTGACACCCCACAGTTAGAGACATTATCTTTATTACAATAAATACAGACTATTTTTGGAATATACGGAGACGTACACAGGTCAGTTGTTGGCGCTGTGCTATTTCAGCCTTCTGATTTGTGATTTCAGCGCAAACGAGAGTTGACATTTAAAAGTGATATCAGTACCATTTAAATGATGAATTGCCAGGGATGGATGGCCCTTATTTCTGGTTATGTACTCGATGAAATGTGATATAATAAACACTCATGAACGCACTTAGAGCAACGCTGAAAAAGGTTGAATTACGATAACAATGTTTTAGGAATGAATTGCATTGTAACATTTGATAAAATGTATTAACAATTAAGGCTATTATCATTATTATAATTAGAATGTATCTACCACTATGACCAAATAGCAATGTTGTTCATTTTGGAATAGGTTATGATAGATTTGCTGTAGCAAGGTTCAAATTGTAAAACTCTCATTGAGGAGAATAACACAGAGTGCCCTTGCATTCGGAGGTTCACTAATAAAATCCTAAAAATAACGCAGAATTTTTTCAAGTCTGGCTCATTTTGGCAACTACAGGTAAAAGACAGGGAGAAATGGAAGTCTCTGGAGGAGGGTTACGTCAAAAGACAAGCTGATTTTCATACAATACCTAGTCTGCAACTGCGCTTCTAAATATTGTATGAAAACAGGTAGTGACGTCATATAAGCGTCTAATTTGAAAGCACCCTTACTCATTCTGGAATCTGTCATAGAGATCAATCAATGTGATAATTTAAATCCATCAATGCAAATTATGCATCAATTACTACTAACGCACACACACACACTCACACTCAACATAGCCCCGCACTAGGGAAACCCTGTGTCGCGGGTGCCATGGACACACATATAGACAACCACAAATTACACCCAAACTCACGAGAGAAATAGTTATAGGCCATACAAATATTTCTCCCGGCCCGGGAATCGAACCTGGGACCTCTGCGTGGCAGTCCGGCACGGTAACCGTTCGGCCACAGAGGCAGTTACTAACAGTGTTCGTTAACATTCTACCTTACTTTAAAAAAATAGGAACATAAAATGTACTTTTGTCATCAAATGTACATTTTTAGATCTATTTTCATGGACATAAAGAATTATTTACTATCAGTAGAGGTGCTTGTGAAAGAGTTTGTCCAGGGTAGTACTGCCACCTTACCTATTTCTGGCGCCAAGCAGTAATGTCAGCATGACTGTCTTCCGGTTTTGAAGGGTAAGGGTGCTGGTGAAATTACAGGCACATGGGACTTGTCAACTTATGTCTCAGGGTGATGGGCGCGGTGGTAGTGCCCTTCAGATCTTTGCAATTAAAAGCTCTTGAGTGGCACTGTTACGGACTGGCGTGTAGCTCCCGTTACTTAATTTTAAAAAAACAAATTATTTTTAAGTCATGTAACAAATGTTGATGTTTATGATGCGAGTGATATAATTATAGTCTTCGAATCCATTTTAAACGAAATGTAATTAAAACGGCTTGGTTGAATTTCTAAAGTAATCACTCAATAAATCAAATAAGTAACACTTTCACGTATATTTCGAAGATTTTGACCTCTTTTCTCTTCTTCGGAGGTTCTATCGTCTATCTTTTTGGTAATATTATACATGCACTAATAAAATCCTAAAAATAACGCAGAATTATTTCAAGTCTGGCCCATTTTGGCAACAACAGGTAAAAGACAGGGAAAAATGGAAGTCTCTGGAGGAGGGTTACGTCAAAAGACAAGCTGATTTTCATACAATATCTAGTCTGCAACTGGATACTTTACTACTACACTTTTTCCAACAACGTTCATTTGAATAGCATCGTAAAACCGTATTTGAAAAATGGTAGTCAATAAGTGAGGTTATTTTTTAATTTTTTTTACGAATTGTCTATGGCTGCAAAGTGCTGTACGGAAAAAAGCATTCAGTTCATTCAATTAAACTTCAAATCGCAACCGAACGAGTATCGAAGTGTAAAGATGAAGAATTTGAAAAAAAAATTATTAGAAGAATTTAACATTAAGATTTTGGAAATTTGAAGTATGCTTTTATAGGTTATGTAATGAAAACCGCTAGTACGACTCAATTAAACAAACCTATTCATTCAATTACTTAAATTTGTAGTTGGCAGTAAAATTGGCCATTACCAAACTGTCTATGGTCGGGTCAATGACTTGTTTACTTTTTGTTTAAAATGGACTGAAACGAAGTATAGTCCTGCAAGGCTGTTAGTATTTAAAAAATAACGCTGTCTATTATTAGGGTTGTGTACTGCACTAGATACTGTGAACTTACCTTACGGAAACCATTGGGCAGCATGTGACGCGTTTTCTTGTTGGAGCCGTAACCAATGCTCGGCATCAGATACTGGCCCTTGAAACGTCTCCGCACCCTATTGTCAATACCTGTAATCATAATTATAAGAAAACAATGAATACCACAATTATAATTTATTTGCAGTGACGACCAAACCGATTACCTGGTGTCAAATTAGGAAATTCTTTGTACTATGCACTACAAAGAATACCTGAACAAGAATCAATTTAGAAGAGCGCATTTTTCAAATCGGTCCTAATGATAATACTATGTAACAAATGTTTTATTACAACAAAAACCAGACTAATGGAAGTATAACAGAGTAGGCTAAAATCGCTACACCTAAAATAAGCGAACAAACAGCTATATGTCTTCCTTCACCTGTAGCTAGTTATTTGCTTACTTAAGTACTGAACAACTTTTATGTATACAGTGAATAACTCTTATTTATATAGTGAACAACTTGTTAGCTTATTTATATAGTGAACAACTTGTTAGCTTCTTTATATAGTGAACAACTCTAATTTATATAGCGAACAACTTGTTAGCTTGTTTATATAGTGAACTACTCTTATTTATATAGCGAACAAGTTGTTCACATACTGTCTGTAGCAGTCTTCACTGAAAATCAGCAATGCTGAGTCTTTAACCTTTTTGTCCACACCACCCCATTGTATTTTCTATTAGTTTTTAAATATTGTGTTTCCTATGTTTTGTGGAGGAATAAATGTCTTTTTATTTATTAAATTTCATTTAAAACACAACAGGAAACCTTGGTGTTAAGGAAAACCTCATCTATAATATGTATAAAATTTGAGACATAAATACATTTCTATTTTTTTAATTATTTTTAAGCATTGACCTACCAACAAATGGACAATAGGTCAAATACAAAAAGCACGAAAAAATGTCGGACGTTAACCTATACAAATGTAGTGACATGTAACGAAATATAAAAAAACAATTACACAAACATTAAATTTAAATTGTGACGTCATTGCTGTACGGCCTAATTTTGCTTGCAACAATTTAAGGGCCCAAAAACACCATATTCAGCGTCTACTGGAAGCTTAACAAAATGCACCATATTTAGCTTCGCCTGAAAATTACTTGAACACAAGAGTAATGGAGTAGCCTTTCTCGGAAATATTAATTAATTTTCATATATATTATTATTTCAAATTTTGTACAAATTCACTTACAGATATAACAAAGAGTTGAGCAGATACATACATACAAATATTACTACAAATGTGAAAATAAGCATGTACTATAAGAAATGTACTGATATTCCAACTAAATATAAACTCAAATATCCGTAATTCCGAAAACCAATTTATAATAAAACCGTTACGCTTTCAAATAATTTTGATATTTTCACAAAGACAAAATTAGCTTTTGTTTTGTAATCTTCCAACAAAAATACATTTGTCAAATTTGACAAATGTATTTTTGTAGGATGTTTGTTGTGAATGTATTTTTGTGAAATGTTTTGGGCAAATGTATTTTCTGACTTCTGATAGGTAATCCCAAGCCGTAAAACAAGTACAACAATATTTTGTTAGTTATTGCTAATAAAAAAATCATTTTAAAAATAAGATGAAAATCAAAGCGACTCTATAGCTTCTTTGTCCTAAATATTTCAATCGCTTGTAGTTCGAACAATTGCAAATGACGAAGAAGTTTATATAAGCTTCTTGAAACTGAGATAATGGGTCTCTTTCCATCTTTTGCGCATACAATGTGAAGAAAAAGGACAGTTAGCTATTTGATTATTTTGTGTGATTTTGTAATTTATATTTACGATTCATTTATATATAAATTAAATACTATAAAACTATACAAAGTAGCACTTTTAAATGTGAACTGTGATAACACAATGTATTTGTTTAGTGAAAATATGATACAAATCCTGTTTTTACACTATACTGCAGTAATTTTTACAAGTTATTATTATTGGTACGGCATGATTGACAACCACGCTGTCAGTCAAACAAACGAAGACTGTTGCGCGATTGACACTCTGTATGCGATTTTAACGCCCTAACGGTGCGGACACTTTATAGCATGAACCCGACGTCCATTTATTGGTAGGTCAATGTTTTTAAGTAATTTCTTACAGCAGAAATTTAGGACTTGCAAAGGGATTTATTAACTCTTTTAATTTTTTTTAATGACTACCTGCAATTAAGAACAATTATAACCCATTTGTTGAGATACTTAACTAAATGTAAACAATCTTGATTCATCTTTTTATTGAAACAAATACTTTACAAATCAATAGGTATTAAAATAGGCATGCAATTTCATATGAAGCTTTACAGTATATCTATTTTGTATTTGAAGGTAAGTAAAAATAATTTTATAGGTGTAATTTCATTAACAAGCATCTCAACATAGTTTACATTTAGTTATGTACCCAACTAATGGACTATAGTCGGAAACAATCTAGGAGTTCATTCTTACATTTTCAAATCCATGGGTGATAGTGATATAAAAAAGTCAATGAACAAAATTAAATATTTCCATGAATATCATCATTAAATCTTCCTTCTTTCACTATAACATACTTAAGGATATATTTACATGTCTTCATAGATTAATAAAGTTTTTGATAACTTAATTATTTCCAGGGCTAAGCCGTACCTTGTAACAAATAACCTATACGAAATGCTGGTTAGAATTAAACGTAAATATTAATGGAGAATCTAGTTTTGGTGTAAAATGTAGGTTCTTATAAGCATAATTCAGTCCAAATAGCCTTATAGTCTAGAAGTCAGCGTGTAGAAGGAGATAATTAGACAGAATGGTTAGAAATTTTTTTCCATACCTCTGGGCTTGCGCCAGTTGCGTTTGAGTTTGTCATAGCGATCCGACTGGTGGCGGATAAATCTTTTCGTCCTTTTTTTGACGATCGTCGGCCTGTATACTGGTCTGATAGCCATTTTAATTTGTTTCTTCAAAGAAACGCGGCAGCGAAACCACGCGGTGACACGGCCGCACGAAAAGGAAGAAGAAGTAGATAATCACAAAAATTCCTAGAACTATGATGTGTTTTCATTGAACTGTCAAACTACAACCTTTATCTCTGGTTAAGGTTGTAATTGCACGAGCGACATAACGGGATACAAGCCGAAATATTTTTTTTGCTCAGGTAATGCATTCATCAAACACTAAATTGGAATTAAGTGTACTTAGAGATCAACGTTAGGTATAAATCAGGAAAGAAAATACATTAACGCCTGAAAATGACGCTATAACAACTAAATGATTGTTGTAAATCGAGTGTTGTTCATTGACTGATACTTAAAAATGCGTCTATTAGACTTACTTTCACCTATAAAATCACGATACATAAGATCAAGAAACCGGCGTGTTGGCGCAGTGCCATGCCAGCACAATTCAAAAGCGGGCTAGAGGAAAGATCATTGTTATCGCGAGATGTATATGAAATGTGAAATATTCTGTAACGCACATAAAATTACAGTTACAACACAAAACAGTAACTTAAGTATAAAAATAGTAGATAAATGTGCAGTAAGCGGCCTTATTGCTTTGTAGCAATTTCATCCACGCAACCTTCGGACAGAAATTTGGGTACGTAATAATATATGGTTGTTGCTATTCATCTAAAAAAAATGTTTGTACCTCAAATTCCAAATGTTGTGTGTCATTTCATGATTTGCGTCCTCTGTTTTAGGCAGAAAAGGGTTAAAATCCGGTTGGAACCTAAGGCAGCGGATCACATTTTTATCCACTGTCCACCTCGTTGTCGTCGTCCAATTAACACACACACAAATCAATATACTTATTTATGCACTTCCATATTCACAAATAAGATTCTGCACTTTATTCGTCTAATTGTTGTAATTTAGTATTTCTTAAAACTAATTTAAACATATTTACTTTATCAGTTAAGATTTATTAGTCGAACCGTTATAGTAAACCCAATTTTTTTTAACTTATATCTTACCATAAACAAAAATAAATGACATTTGTATCGTGCAATGAAAACAAAAATTTTCTCTATGCCACAGACGCCAAATGTCGCCATCGATCAATGACATTTTGTGAAGTTGAATTTATTGATATAAAGCGTTAATGTAAATAATAAACAATTTCCACATTAAAGTCGGCTTCCAGTCGATATGTATGCCAAGGGCAAAGGCTCTACGGTGCCTTCGGACGCTCAGGCTCGCGAGAAGTTGGCGCTATACGTCTACGAATATTTACTCCATGTCGGCGCACAGAAAGCAGCACAGACTTTCCTCTCGGAGATTCGATGGGAGAAGAATATAACGCTTGGTGAGCCGCCGGGGTTCCTGCACTCCTGGTGGTGTGTTTTCTGGGACCTTTACTGCGCGGCGCCGGAGCGAAGAGATACTTGCGAGCACTCATCTGAAGCGAAGGCTTTCCACGATTATGGTTTCGTAAATTCTGGCTATGGAGTCAATGGAATCGGTCACAACGCCGGCCCGGCGCCTCCTAACGACGGTACGTAACCTATTTACGGCTAAAACCTATAATTTTTAGTAAAAATTGTAGTTTTTTTTTGTTTCACATTTCTAGGCCAAGAGAGGCCTTATCAGCTAAGTAAATATCGCGAGGCGTTAACAACGATGCACTATGTTTGCTTTGTTAGATTTGCATAATCTTGTCCAAGGGTTTGAGTGAAAACATGGAGTTTTCTTGTCCAATAAAATTATGTTTCACTCATTACCAGTGGCCGGAATAGGCTGTTCCAAATGAGCATCTAGATACAAGGAATGACATAGAGTTGTTAAAACCACCAAAATAACTTTTTCAAATTCAAGAGATAGTTTTACTGCATTGTTGGATAAAACCACTCACTATAGAGGCTGAAATTTGATGGTCAAATGTCTGTTTTAAATAGCAAAAGAGAGAGCACAAAATTATCTTTTAAAAGCAATTAAATTTAGTTAACGTGTTTGAGTTATCAGAACTCACCCTAATGGTGCATAGCTGAAATATCAAACAATTTAAATATTCTAAAACTGGGTTATGATTTTTTATGATATCTCAAAAAAAATTTTCGTCTCCTGGCGCATTCTAGTTAGCTGACAGCAGGACTTACCTTTCACCAATGCAAACATTTTTAATATTTAGTGATTATATATGTATAATTCATTAATATTTGATGGTTTTTAACCACTCCATGTTACTTCTTGTATCTATATGTAGACATTTAACTGCTCATTTGGAAATCTATGCACAGTTGCGAACTGTAGGCCTGGTGCTAAGATAGAACTGCCCATTTGGACATAGTTAACATCTTAAAGATCAGCATGAAGGATCTGAACACAGTCAAAGAAGTTATGACGTAAGAAGTAAATCACAAGTGGTTTAGTTATTCCAAACCATATTAAAACTATTACACATATGTACTTATTGTTTAAGGACTCATCACATAGAGAGTCTGAAAAAGAAAAAAATTTGTGTTATGAACCTTCTGGACGTACATATTTTGTCACAAAATTCTTGTAAGGCAATTCATAGATTATTTTTTATTATTATTATTAACCTATACTATACTGACATTCAATTATATTGACAACTATATTCATAAATTACTTAAACTATAACATCAGCGCAACCTGAAGACGCATAGGTCTCCCCCAGCTCTATCCATCTGGCTCTGTCCCTTGTTCGTCTAGTCCATAGAGGTCCTGCTATTTTTTTAAAGTCATCACACCATCTTTTAAGGGGACGACCTCTTTTCCTCTTGGCATTTTCTCTTGGTAGCCATTCTGTTACCTTTCTGGTGCACTTTTCTATTTTTTCCCTGTACATGTGGCCAGTCCACTTCCATTTTAGTGTTTTGATTTTTGTGGTGAAACCCTCCAATTTATAGATACTTAACCCTTAATTAGTTGCACCAAAAAAGTTACACAATTGGTTGTGGGGTGTGCAACACCCCAAATTAGAATTGTGAAATAAAATATGAAATACATGTAAAATAACACTTTTTTTATAACTTATGGCTTTTCTGACTTATAAAACATTTTATAAATAAAAAAACAATATGTAAAACCCAATTTTTTTCATCACAATCTTGGCAGACTAGAATCATTGTGATTATTGCATACATGGTTTTTCATTTGAACCATTCCTTTTACGTTCATACAAAAATAAATATAATAATTTGAATAGATCACTTTAAAACAGTAAAAAACAGACATTATGTATGTCTTCATTTTTCTGCTTTGCTATGCTTATTTTAAATTGTTATTATTATTAGGGTGGCTTCATTCGGGGCATATGTGGCCCCTTACCGTGACCATTAGCTGACCTATTTTTTTTTTATAATCTTCTATTTTTAGTAAGGCCTGTAACACTTGGGTGTCAATGTCGGCCTTGTGATGTCAATCCCTGAGGACTATATCACTCCGCTATATCGCGTCGCCTTGTCTGAAAGACAAGACCTCACATATGAGTACAGAGTTTTAGCACTCTTTGTCAATGGTTCACTCAACATGACGTTCAACTCCCCAACCTGCCAAACATCCCCCAATCGAAATTGGATTCTCAGAGCCACATAATGCCCACATTCCATTAAGTGCAGCACATACATCAGCTGATCTATATGATCACTACTAATTACAGTTCAGAGCCAAGGCCGACAGCATTGAAGAACTGAAGGAATTTCCTGGCTCCGACAGATTCAATGTTCTCTGGCCTTCCCAGTAAGGAGCTTCGTACGCCCATCAGGGGGTAACATTGGGTGAGAGGATGAGCTGGATTGCATCCGCCTCATGGCGGAATCTACACTCTATTCTCTATCTGCCCAATATTTGACATATGCTTGTTCAAACCAAAGTGTCCTGTAAGGAGTCTAGTGATCGTTTGGATGCCATTCCTCTCCAATGACAGTGCTTCTCTACAGTGTTTGGTACTGTAGGCGGCTATCAGGGCTTATAAATGCTCAAGACCCCTACTCTGTAGCCCCACTTCTCGGGGGACGCATGTGCTCTTGTTCAGCAGTGTGAGTTTTGCCAGCTTTGCCAGGCTGTATACTATCTCTATAAAGGGTCTATCAGGTCCAACAATGGTTTCCCTAGCACCAACCTGTGCCATTTTTTGCAATTCCCTCAATGTCAGAGTGACCTGAAACCCACCGCAGTACCACTTTCTTGAAATAGTTAACATTGAAATGTTCTCCAAATGTACTCAGCAGAACAGGAATAAAAATTCGATTACTATACATTTTTGCAAATGTAAATTAGATAAAAACGTTATTCACTTCCATGACAACCTATTTACTATAATAAACTAAAACTTGTGTAAGTTTTAGTTTATTATAGTAAATTAATAAAATTATTATTATTAATATTATACTGCTAAAAATAACAAACAACAGAAGAAACTTACAACTTTAGAACTAATTAAACTAAATGCTTTTGGAAGTCATGGCAGTGAAGGAGCTGACTCAGCATAAATGCCACGATTACCCACGTCGATAATGTTTTACCAGGACCCTATCAAGGGAGATGCCACTCATCATCGCAGACAGTCCTAAATTAAGGCACTGCTTCACCACAGTTGTAATATGTCTCTACTAGAAGGAGATCAAAACAGTCAAAGCCAGGAGAATACCTAACTTCTTTAATTCTGCTCATCTAGGATCTGAATTCAAATTAATAGTAATTACATTAGATACATTGCTGTTTCCGCCATATAGAGTTCCTACGCAGGCCCTGAACATAGCCAGAAATGAAAAAACTTTACCTACAATATTATTAAAGAATGTTCTAGTGACACTTTTTCATTTCTTTACTATTCAGGTCAAAATTAAACATTTCTCTCTTTAAAAGTAAAAAATAGCATTTGTTAACAAATTTGATTGCTTTAGTGACCTAGTTTCGCATTTCCAGATTAGGATTCTGATATTAATATGTTCCATAAACAAATAAAACACAAATTTAAATCTAATATGTGTGCCTACCTACTGGAAAAGCTGAAACTTTCTGGTTTTCCATATAACAAATAGAAGTAGAGTTATGCTTTCTTTTTTCTTAAAAAAAACTAACTTTAAATGGCGCTCCAACAATATTTTCCAAATGCATGTTAGACATTTTACCTTTCCAGTATCGAATTGGTTGATTTCAAATTAATTGTGTATAATATATGTTCGTTGTTTTTAGGCATGGGTGGCGGCGGTATGCCACCAGGTTTCTTCCCCAACTCTTCACTACGACCATCTCCTCCGGCACCGCACCCTGGCTCCCAGCCGTCGCCTCACGGCCCCAACCCACAACTGATGGGAACAGGGCAGCCGTTCATCGGACCATGGTACTCGAGTGGACCACGCGGAGCTGTCAGAATGGGGATGGGCAACGATTTTAATGGACCACCAGGTGTGTACAGACATTTGATGTTAATTATCACAGTAAAATTGTAATTGTGCACTCTAGCTGTCAAATCGTGCAATGGGGACTACTTTAAAATGTCAAAGTGGCGTTTTGGTTTAAATTTTTTTTGTGTTGTGTCATCCAGATGTCACCTGTGACCATGGGAACTGTAAAGAGCCGGAAGCGTTGGTTTGTTTGAAACCAACAACAAATATACGCGAATAATCGCGAAAACCTAAGAACTCGATACCAATTTAAAAAGTTCATTTCCTGATTTGGTCCTACCGGGAATGAAACCTGGGATCGTCTCATCAGCGCCCACAATATAGACCATTGAGCTACTGCGGTCGTTAAAGTATTGGATTTGAAGCTACTTAAACACGTATGTCTGACATGTGCAGGGCAAGGCATGATGGGCAACTCGATGGAGCGCGGCGGCGTAGGCGCCGGCGGTGTGGGCGGCGGGCTACTGGGCGGGCCGCGCATGACGCCGCCGCGCCCCGGCATGGGCCCCATGAGCCCGGGTGCGTACGCGCAGGGCATGCGCGGCCCTCCGCCGCAGGGACCAGGTCAGTACCACGTCTCTGTCAAGGGCGACGATAAAAACCCTTTTCACTCGGGTACTTAATTGTTATCGTCAATAGATGGCGCCACTGGTACGATATATCGAGTTTCTAATTCATCATCGGCTTTGAGTGCTATTGTGATCTATTTTCGTGCCTGACTATGTGTGATTCACGGAAAGACGGACACGGACTGATAGATGAGGGGTTCGTGGTGTTTTATATGACTATTTATGTTGTTTGTTCTGGTTGCTTGACCGAATCGGTGTAGTAAAGAAGATGGAAGTAGATTAATTGGCTACTCCGCGAACCCAGTGAAGATCGTGCAATGTTGATTATTTTTTCATGCAGTTAATAAAAAAAAAATCTACACATCTACGCAGCTATTTTGCACGATTTAACCATCACTGGGTTCGCGGAATAGCAAATTAATTTACTACCATTTTTATTAACATGAACTTCCGCAAAGTAACGCCTGAATTTATTAATTAGTAAATAAGATTTGTGCCTCTAGTATGAGATTACATTGACTTTACAGGCACATGGGACTTGTCGACTTATGTCTCTGAGTGACAGGTGCAGTGGCAGTGCCCTAAGATTTTTGCGATATAAAGCTCAAAGTAACACTGCAACTGTCATGGACAGGCATGTAGCTCACCACCAGCCACACGACTTGTTCGTTCCTTCACTTAATGTTATAAAAAGAAGGCAGTTATCGCTAGCGACCGCGTAAAATGTTTGTACACAAAATGTTGTTGCTTCTTGTGACCGCTAGGAGCCCTGAATAATTTGCCATATAAAATTGTGACTCTATTTACGCGGTCGCTAGCGACATCTGTTACGGTTAACTTGTGGTTAAGGCACTGTACTTCGACATTTTGCATTTTTCTTCTCAGGTACCATTTTCTAAACTTACTAAGTTAGGACAGTATGCTGTATGACTCTCGATTTTGAACTGTTGTCCTTATGTATTATTGACCAAAAAGCGACATCTACATCAGTTGAGGTACCTGTAAAGGTGCTGGCTGCGGTGAAGAGGGTTCTAAAATCTCTCACTAGATGTAACTAGCAGTACAGAATGCCGAAAAGTCCAGTACAAAGAACATCGAGTATATAACCAGAAATCGAGACGAAATGTCATTTTGTTTGTATGAAAACTATTCTGCCAAATCATTACGGTGACAACTGTGCTCCGATTAACCAGCCCGAATTCGAAACAATTGACGGGTGTCGTCAATTGTTTCACTTCAAATCGACCAGTGGACGAAAATTGCAAAATTACATATCTAATATTTAATTAACGATAAAATTTGATCCTGTTTGTTTTGTAATTAGATGTATTGCTGTTTTTCCCACACCAGCGAATAGTACAGTACGCCATTGTTAGAGATATTATTTATTACAATAAATAAAGAATATTGTTTTGGAATATACGGATACGTACACACAGGCCAGTTGTTGGCGCTGTCTATATTTCAGTGCAAACGAGAGTTGATATTTATAAGTGAAGTATCACTGATGAGTTACCAGGAATGTATGGAACTTATTTCGTCTCTAATTCTGGTTATATACTCGATGCCGCGAACTAAGCTAACCGAGCTAACTAAACTAACCCAACGATCCCGCTAGCTATGTAAAATATGTCGCCCTTCTGCCGCCCTTCACCCCCGCACGTGTCCATAGTCACCACTTACTACGTATTTCCTTAGTTTTGCTTTACATGCAACTATGTGAGCTAGATTAACTTAGCTAGCTTCGTTCGCGGTGTGGTCTGCGCTTTAGGTAAGTACACGGTAAAAACAGATTACTTAGAAAAAGACAAAATTCTTTTTATGAAGACAAATTTATTAAATCCAACAAAACGATTCTCTCCCTATAGACGCTAGAGAATAATTACTTGATAATAGTAAAAAAACGTCTCAAAAGTGTATTTTCGTTACAAGACAAAAATATTTAATCCAAGAGCAAATTAATTTACTTCAAGTCACAAAGCCACTCTAGATTCAACAAAATATTTATTTGTTACTAGAAATGTCCGATTTTGATTTAAAAAAAAAGAATGAAAAATTGAGAGGTACTTAATTATTTGACTGAAGATTTATGTTTTCTAATATCAAAAAGGATAAATTTACAGGGTTATGGACCCAACAGTGCCAAACCTTAAAGTAGCAGAAATAGGATGGAAATATGGAATCCTCTCAAATACTTGAGGACCATCCAGTGCCGTATAAATGCTACAGCGGCAGAAAGCACTAACATTTCCAAATCTATGAGATGACTTTATACTATTGAAGTTAACAAAACGATAGCGCGTTTCAGAGTACATCTAATGCCATCTAGCAGTGGCGTGATGGAACTAATTGCATGTTATGCTTGTTACAAGTGTATATAGTTTGATTTCATGCTGTAACCAAATTTCTTGAATTATGACTATAAAGAACACCCTAACAAACTAGAGATACTACGTATTGTTTCTTTGGATAAATGACTGTTTATGATTACAAGCACAAGTAAAAGTAATCGTTACCGCGTGCGCCTTCGGCGACATGTCACGACAAGATTGACTATGAAAACGCAACGAAATGTTGCTTTAAGAATATACTCTAGAATTTAGAATATTAATCTGAATAGAAAACTACTTCTTTTTTTGTTTAAGAATATATTTTCTTAAAATACACCCAAGAAATTTTGAATTCATTTAAGATTATTTAAATTTGATGTAAGAGGTAAAAATTTCTTGATATAAGTAATGTCCAATTAATTGATTAGAAATGAAATAAAATCTTGAAGTGAACGTATTTGTCTCAAAGTTAGAATAAAGTTAAGAGTAAAATTGTATTAGAAAAAGATAAGCCGTATTTTTGTAGTGACAATATTTTATTACTTTTAATAAATATTTTTTCAGAATTAGCAAATATTTTGAGAAATTGCTCTTTCTTATTAGTAGAAATCCTTTTTTTCTGTGTAATTGGCTCTAAAAGTGTGTTAATTTATTAGCGCCCTATATATAACAAAACAAATTAAATAGCGTGACGAAATACTTTCATAGATTTCTCATAGATGGCGCTACGGCTAAAAAGTCGTTGAAAACCAAATACAAAGATCCGACAAACAAGTACATGCAAAAAGTCGTGAAGTTCGGTGGTTCGTCCCGTGGCGTAGTTAACATAGCGTCTGCCACGGTTTGCTAGAAGACGTCGGTTCGAATCCGGCCGGAATTTTTTCTAAGCGTTAATAATTATAAAACTAGTGGAGTAATTTTCCAAAAAAATAATAATTGAACATCGATTCGATACAAATTTAAAAACAAATTAAAATTAAAAAAAATCTCAGTGCAGAGAACTAAAAAAACCGACCTCAAAAGTTCGTTTAAAAAATTACATCTATTTGCCAAGTTTTAATGGAATCGCTTACCGGAAAGCACGCGAAACCGGATTCATACCCTAGTTTGCCACCCTTAGAGGTGGAATATTTTCGTCAAATTTAAATATATTCTATCTATCTATCTATCTATATATGGTGAAATGAAACTTGTCAACATATGTCTCAGGGTGACGGGCGCAATGGCAGTGCCCTCAGATATTTGCGATTTAAAGCTCTGAGTGGCACTGCAACTGTTATGGACAGGCGTGTTGCTTACCATCAGGCGCACGACGTGTTTCTTTCCGTCACTTGATATTATAAAAATAAAATAATTAAATAAATACGACCACCACTGAGGGTACTGTGGTATTCATTCACGATGACTTTACATCGAATAATGTTGATTATATTTATATTAAACTTGTTACAAACAGGTATGTAAAATAGTTGTAATATCAGAACTGGACAGTATTAATAAAAAAATCATAACCGCCTCTCCCAATTAAAAAAAAACTAAATTAATCTTTTAGGCCATGGGAGATGTGAGAGTCTCTAAAAAAACGGACCTCAAAAGTGCGTGGGGTTACATCTATTTGCCAAGTTTTATTAATATCCGTTAGCGGAAAGTGCGAAAAGCCGGATTCATGGGGGGGGATTGAAAACCTTTTTTTTTTAATAGATTAATAAAATACATAATTGACTTACAATTATATGGACGTCGGGTCCGCGCTAAAAAGTGTCCGAACTTATAGGGCGTTAAAATCGTATACAGAGCGTCATTCACGCTTTAGTCTTCGTTTGTTCGACTGACAGCGAAGCAAGCATAATTAGACAGTACTGCGATGACATTACAAATTTAAATTCAACGTTTTAGCTTTTTCATATTCCTTTACATGTCACTACGTTTAAATAGGTTTACTTGGGACATTTTTTTCGTGGTTTTTGTATTAGACCCGTCGTCCATTTATTTGTAAGTCAATGGTCCCAAGCTGTTGTTCCCAGATTAAGGTACGCTGCATACGCAGTCCGCAGAATACGTGAGCTTACCGATGTTAGTACTGCTAGACTAGTTTACTTTAGTTACTTCCATAGTATAATGTCCTACGGGATTCTCATGTGGGGTAAAGCGACAGACATTCAAACCATACTTGTATTGCAAAAACGAACGATTCGTTTGGATTTTTGGATTGGTACATAATTTTAATGGGAAAGAAGATATCCATAATATTAACATTAGAGCTAAGTCGAAAGTCATGGTACCACGATTTCGTTTAACCAAGGTAAACAATTCTTTTACGGGGAACTGTTTACGTTTTTACTATAAGATTCCGGAGCATATATTAAGTTTATAATTTCCTCAGTTTAAAAGTTACATTAAAAGTATTTTAATTGAAAAGTCATATTAAAAAATTGAAGACTACGTGTTACATAAAAATGTATGGAAGGACGAAATGGCTGCAGAATCCACACAAATTTGATTTAAAGTGTGTGCATAGCACTTAAGTTTATTTGAAAAAGCAATCCCTGGAGTTTCTTTCTCGTTCTTCTCAGGGAAGTCAGTGTAGTGAACGAGCAGTAGCTTAAATGTGACGTTTTCAAGTGTAAATTTAATTTACCTATGGAATAAATGATTCGTTGACTTTGTTAAACCATTTAAATGTCGAAAATTTAAACACGGTCGACCCGTCAACATCATAGACATTCTTTATTCCGTTTCCGTTTTGTGTTGCGTAGGATTCGCGTCTGGTGCCGTGTGTAATTAGCCTTAGATTATGTTTGAGTACCCGATTCACCACTCACTCACCATTCCATGGGCATTTTTGACCGTTTGTAGATCATCTGTCAACTGGTTAAGGTTATATAGTCCTCGTTAGTGCTATAAATTTTTCTAAAAACCAATCTCAAATAAATAGGTATGCCCCCAATGGGAATGGGTCCACGAGGCGCGTGGCCAGGCGGCAGCAGTGGCGGCGGAGGGGGGTCAGCGCCTCTCAACTACAGCGGGGGCTCGCCCGGCGCGTACGGGGCCCCACCAGGATCGAACGGACCCCCTGGCCCCCCCACGCCAATAATGCCCAGTCCGCAGGACTCGTCGAATTCTGGTAAGTGGCAGACAGATCTTCGACAGGTGGCGGTGGAAGCTGGGTGTCGGAATGCAGATTTAAAACTCGTATCGAACTTTTTGATACCACTCTCTTGTAATGGCAACACTCGGAAGTGTTACAAAAAATATATTTATCTAATAGAAATACTGATTAACCATTAATGAAAAATTTGAAGACCAATTAAAGCTCCTTGTGTAGTTTATCTAGGGAAGTACCCATTTATGCCGCCACGCAATAATGTGAGCACAACTGCGTTCCGGTTTAGAAGGGTAAGGGTGCTGATGAAATTACAGTCACACGGGACTTGTCAACTTATGTCTCAGGGTGACGGGCGCAGTGGCAATGCCCATAACATCTTTATGATTTAAAGCTCTGAATGGTATTGCAACTGTTATGGATAGGCACGTTGCTTGCCACCAGGCGCACGTTCTTCCCGTCACTTGGTAATTATAAAAAAAAACCTCAGTGCACACTTCCATACCTTTCTTCATAAGTTTTGTTTATAGTGACCCTTCCTATGAAACTCTTGGTTATACCGAAAGAGGCACTATAATCTGTCCAAGCAAGCCTGCACTGTGACCAGTCAGTCAGGTCCTGACCTGATTCTCTAAAGGCTAGTACCTCGAGTGACCTGACTCACTTCCCGATGCGCGTTGCGCAAGTAACGGTTGCCACCGTTAAGCCGTTGATTCTAAAGTCCAAATCTCCTCTTTGTTGGCGGAGGCACAGTCACCTCCCGACGCCGAAGCGTCTCCCAGTTCTCAAACATCTACACGACTGGAGGGACCGGAGGATGTCTAGCTCTCCGGCCAAGTCCCGGAGATGCCGGTCGCAGTTTCCTGTGAAAATGTCCGGACATAGCTCACGACTTAAAAAAGGGCTATTCACTCGTCTGGACCGCTCCTAAGACGCGCTGCACGCGGTATAAACGCCCACACGCTACCACGCCCGAGCCACACGCTACCAGGGCAGACGAACGTGTTCATCCCTACAGATAACAATCCCCGACATGTCCATAACCGAGCCCTGATCCGCCAGAGACGCCCTTCAAGATGAGTCACTGACGGAGGGCTTGGCCCCGACGCCCCTGGGAGCTCGTAGTCTTCCCAGAACTCCCTATCTCTCGGATCAGTAAATAGGGACCACTTTCGTCTACAGTTCCCGTATCGCTTCTGCATAATTTGTGTTTATAGTGACTCTCGCTATCAAGCACTTGGTTATAATGGAAGTGCACTATAACCTATGCGAGCAATCCTGCACGTAGTCAGTCAGATCCGGACCCCAGATCAACCCATTTGCACGGACCTCATTCGATTCTCAGAAGGCTATTGCCCCGGGTGCACGCACAGTACCCTCCCTATTTTCCAGATAGGTACCGGAGCTGTAGGCACGCTCACTTCCCGTTGCAACTAACGGTTTGATTATAGTGACCCTCTCTACTGACCCTTAGGGTATACGAGAAGAGCACTATAACCTGTGCATGCACAGGAACCTTCTCAGTTCAGCTATCGAAACCAGATAAGCCAGTGTACAGGATTGTCACTGACTTCATCCGGTTCTCAAGGGGCTAGAGCGTCAGGTGAGTCGCCCCGGGTGCATGTACATTACACTCCCTATTGTCCAGATAAGTACTGGAGCAGTAGGTACGCTCACTTTCCGTTGTGCATTACACAACTAGCAGTTGCCACCGCTTAGTCGTCAACTCAAAAGTCCACTACCAAATCTCCACATTGGTGGCGGAGCTGTAAGACACGCTCGCTTCCCGACGCCGAAAAACAACGTCTCTCCAGTTCCTAATAACTTAAGCGGCTGGAGGGACCGGAGGATATCTAGCTCATCCTCTACTAGCTCTCCGGGCTAGTGCCAGAGATGTCAATCGCGACAATGTCCGGACATAGTTTCCAGCTTAAAGGGCAACGCCGCGCGTCTCCTCGCTTCAGGCCTTCACGTCCGCTACTAAGACGCGCTAGCTGCACACGAGACAGACGCCCCGACCACACATCACCGGGGCAGACAAACATGTCCATCTGTGCAGCTCACCACAAACCCCAACGAGTTCGTACTCAAATCCGGGTCCGCCAGAGACGCCCGTGAAGGCGCATCACTGGCGGAAGGCTTGGCCCGGACGCCCGCTGTACCTGGTCTTGCCGGCGGGCCCGTAGTCTCTCCGGAATACCCTATCTCTCGGGTCGGTAGATAGGGACTTCACCCCGGACAGTTGCTTCAGCTGTACCAAACACAAGTCCGGTCGTGTATGGAGTACTGCTGACACCTGTGGGATCTGCTACATGCCAACTGGCCACTTTGAATTCGATTGACAAGCGTGGCAAGAGGCTTATAGGCAACTCGGAATTAGTAGAGGCAAAACTGCAGAGCCTTGAACACCGCCGTAAAGTTGCCTACTTGTCGGCATTCTACAGGTTATATCACGGAGAATGTGTTACACGATTCAACTCCGCCTTCCATCACCAGGGGACTAGACGTGGGTTCCACCTCTATGTTGTGGACATCAAAAGATTCGCACGAAGTGTTACGCTTCCATATTTGTATGGCGAATGGCTATAGAGTGGAATTCTCTACCTGCAGACTTATTTTAAGGTTTTTTTATTATTATTATTATTATTATTATTATTTAATAGTATGTTGTTGTTATATTATGCAAAAAAAAAACGAATTTCTATAATGGAAAGATATATAAGATGGAAAAAACCTTTTTTTCATTAAAACATTTTTTATTTATACAGAGTGGTATCAAAAATCGGTACAACACAAGCCTCCAGTGTTAATTAAATTGTTTGACAACATTATACAAGAGTGTTACAAATATTGACTATCATTTATTAAGTTTCAATAAGAAATTAGCACAAATAATATATTTAACCATTTTGATTTTAATTCAAAATTTCTTCTGTCTTTCCGGAATAGAAATACTTATAATATTGTTGGAATGCCTCTCCAAATAAAAATATTTAAAAAAAGTTTTGTAGTTAGATCATTGTAACATTCTTTAAAACGTCAAACAGTTTACGCGCAACTGACATCGTTAACACAGACTAATAAAAAGGACACAAGATGGCGGCCGACGCCATATTGGAATTTAACATGTAAATTGATAAATTTTCAGGTTTTTATTAAAAAAATAAATACGTCACTAAAACCAGGTATATGACTGTGGCACTTTATAGAAAACTTTTTTAGATGTATCTGTGGGTGGACACTACCTTCGGCCTTTTTTTCTGGATTTTTTGTCGAATATATAGTGTATAAAGAAAATGTAAAGGTAATGTCCACGAAAAAAACTAAATATTATTTTAAAACCACAAACTTGTTTTTATTTCTTACTTATGGTTTCGCTTGCTTCATTCTCGCTTTAGTTAGTACTGAGCTAATATGAAATTATGTAATATTAATTAATTAATATTTAATATAGCCGGAAAAGCATCTAACGCGTGTCGGGTATCTAACTTAATGTTCCTGAGCCGCCTAAATCCAACAGATCAATTAAATACGCGAAATAATTACAAATCTCAAAGTTCTCGCAATAATGTCCATTACAATATCAGTGTACGTAAAGGCGGCACTTCACAAGCTTGGTCATATACGCTATTAGGTATTGGAAAAATATTTGACGTACGACGAACATTTTTTTATGATAGTAAGCAACGCCTGTCCATAACAATTGCAGTGCTATTCAGAGCTTTAAATTGCAATTTAAATCTGACGTGCACTGGCACTACGCCCGCCACACTGAGACTTAAGTTGACAAGTCTCATGTGTCTGTAATTTCACCAGCAACCTTACCCTTCAAAACCGGCAGAAATAGGTTAGGTGACAGTACTTCCGTGGACGAACTCTTTGACAAGGAGTTCTGCTATTAATGCTACATGCAGATACTGGCAAATATGATTGTCTAGAAACGGAGTCGATAAATACGGCAAACACCAAACATGAGTTACGGCGCGCTGGTCGGTTTCTCGACTCACATCAAAGGAGTCAAATAGACAATTACGCAAGTAAACCGTCCCACTATAGTCATATTCATTACTTCAACTCCTTATTTGGTTCCATATAAAGACGGTCATATTTGTCAGTGTCTGCATTTTTGTTTACACGTCAACTACTTTTCCAATTACAATAAATTGATACCTCTAATGAAAACTACGTCAACTTATTTTTTTGGTAATGTTCTGTTATTAAACAGCCATATTTATAGGAAATGAAACTATTTTTCCCGGATTTAAATCGCGTATATTTGTTTTTTCAAACAAACCTACGTTTCGGACCCTTTACAGGTCCCATGGTCACGGTTGACTGAGGTGGTACAGTCTTCAACCAGTTATGTCTAATATTAATGCAAACCACCCTATTTTTTCACTATAGTTACAATAGTTATTAATTAAATACCTGAATTTTTAATTTTACAAAGAATAGATTCCAATTTACGCTACATTATGTTTTACAAATTATTTTATCCCAATTTGATCCCAAACTGGTGGTACGGAGAAACCATCTTCCCTGTTGAAATTAGGATGTTTTTTAATTTCAATGGCCTCTCGCAGCATCCTGGGTAGATAACGGGCTTCTTTTGCAAGGACCTGGGGTTTGTCAAACTTCATTGAATGTGTAGCTTTATCCATGACATGCTCGCGGTTTGTTTCGGTTTGTTTGAAAAAACAAATATACGCGATTTAAATCCGGGAAAAATACTTTCATTTCCTATGTGTAACAATCGCGAAAACCTAAAAGCCATATTTATTTACTAAAGTTGTGCTCCACGAATTTTGTGAAAAAAAAGAAACAAAAAACAAAATTCGAAAGAAAAAGCAGGTATTTTTTGTCACATCAAGTGACGGGACGAACAAGTCGTGCGCCTGATGGTAAGCTCACGCCTGTCCATAACAATTGCAGTGCCACCCAGAGCTTTAAACCGCAAAGATCTGAGGGGCACTGCCACTGCGCCCGACACCCTGAGACATAAGTTGACAAGTCCCATGTGCCTATAATTTCACCAGCACCCTTACCCTTCAAAACCGAAACACAGTAATGCTCACTTTACTGCTTGGCGGCAGAAACAGGTAGTTACACAGGTTGGTAGTACTTCCCTGGACGAACTCTTTCATAAAGAGGTCTACCGAGATCCGAAAATTATGTTGACGTAGTGTTTATTGGAGCCGTGACAATTGCCACCAAAATAGGCTAACAAGGTGAACACTTTGTCACACATACTATCTACAAATGGTGATAGATTTCCAAATATATCAAATATCCAAATACAAATAGCCATGTAAAGTGCCGTCATCTTATCAACTTATGTCACAGGGTGATATAAGTTGATAAGATGACGTAATCGTCATTTTTAGTTAAATTGAGTTATTAATATATATTGCAGATCTAGTTTCGCTAATTCTAGATATTAGAATTAGCGAAACTAGATCTGCAATCCCATCTAATAGGTTTATTATGTCTTATTTAGTTCCAGTTTTATTGTAATGCGTAATCCGCCTAATTTACATTTTTCAAAGAAAAAACAAAGGCGACGGTTCGAATCGAAGGAAGGAATTTTTTTCTAAGTTTTCGATCTTTTTAATAATAATTATAACAAACTAGTGGGGTAATTTCACAAAAAAATAATTGAATATCAATTTAATACAAATTTAATTAAATGAAAAACAAACTAAGTGCCGCACTGTATTATGGTAACCTATCACAAAGTCGATTTTTTTTTCCGAAATAACGTTTGTTTGAATTTTCATTACATCGAAAACCGAATTATAACGAAACTGTTATTCTTTCAGGATTTGTTGGATGTTTATCGCAAAGACACGATTAGGTTAGATTAAGTTAGAGGGGTCCGGGGTGGAAGGCTCGCCTGGTGTTCGGCGAGCCTCACATTCGGAGTCGGGGGACCGATGTGTCTCCTTTCTCGGGGTGCGCGCACGAGTGCAATTGCGTACTCGCACCCACACCTACAGCGGAGAGGAGGAACACTCCGGGGATTTAGTGCGGGCGGGCAGTACCCCATCAGGGTTCAGCCCAGTCCCACATAACCCCGGCTCTGCCCCCGCGTTGCCGGAGTATCTGTAAGCAGATTTCCCCCGGATTAACGACAAAAATAGTGTATTACTGTATATTACTTTCGAGGTTCTGAAAATTCGGGCAAACGCTATTTCTGGAAAATGTCATTTCGGACTAGTGACAGGTAACCTTGTAGTAATTACTCTTACCAACTGAGCCACAGGTCAAGTAACCGAGTTGGTGAAATTCTCCTATGTGTTTTGTTGTTATAGATCATCGAGTATATAAACAGAAATAGAGACGAAATGTCATTCAATTTGTTTGAAAACTATTCTGCCATATCATTACAGTGACAACGGCGTTCCGATTGACCAGCCCGAATTCGAAACAATTGACGAGTGTCGTCAATTGTTTCACGTCAAATCGACCAGTTAACTTGAACTTTGCTATAATGGACGAAAACTGCAAAATTACATATTTAATTGCCGATGAAATTTGATTCCGTTTGTTTTGTAATTGGACGTTTTACTGTTTTTCTCCACACCACCGAATGGAACAGCACGCCATTGCTGGAGATATTATATTTATTACAATAAATACAGAATATTTTTGGAATATACGGAGACGTACACACAGGTCAGTTGTTGGCGCTGTATTATTTCAACTTTCTAATTTGTGATTTCAATGCAAAAAAGAGTTACCAGGAATATATAGCCCTTATTTCGTCTCTTAATTCTGGTTATATACTCGATGCGTGTCGCTTACCATCAGGCGCACGACTAGTTCGTCCCGTCACTTGATGTCATACAAAAAAATGCTCCTTAACAATATACCCAGCTTCTGTATCTTCTAAGTCGATTGAATGCGTCCGGTATGCAACAAGTTTTCCCCTTCATTCGTAGTCAAGGGAATTGTACCCGATTAATAATATCAAAGGTGGCAGTAACCGGATAACCGAGACAATATGATGTTACAAAATTGAATTTTAGCTCAGTTAAATCTAACCTTGTTTACCTCACGCTTTGGGTCACTTTTACTCGCTTTTTTTTGTTTCTTTTTTTTTGTATAAATCGTTTATTTCGTCCTTCCATGTTATGTTTGTATAGTTATTGTATAAGTTATTTTTTTAATGGAAAGACATATAAAAAGATATTAAACAGATTTTCATGTTGTAATAACGCGCTTTAACCAGTCTATTTAGCTTATCGATAATCTTGTTGGTTTAAAATCGATATAACCATGAATATCAGAACCGAAATTGGTATCCATGCTATATTATTTATGTCTTTCCAATAAAAAAAATTAAATTATTATTAGACTAAAACGACAATGTTGATATTTACAAAATTATATATTTATAAAATATTACTTAAAAGCTAAAAAAGTATTTATATTTGTTGATAAAAGCAATAAAACAAGTTGTTTGTGATTATTAAATGCAAATATTGAACACCAAGAAAAATCCTTCAACCCGAGGGGACTCGACCCTGCGGCCACGGGATTTCATCCCCGTTGCTTTACCAATTAACCAACAATAACAGTTGACTACGTCGACGAATTTCTTCCATGTGTCTGATAGACCTTTTCATTGAAATTTGGTTTTATCGACACCGTAGCGGCATCTGTGAGAGATTTTATGAACCTTCTCATTCAGCCGGTAACTTTCCAGTTAGATCGAAAACACAGAAAAATCGTCATCTTTGTATTTAATAATTATAACAAACCAGGGGACTTATTTCACAAAGTAAATCAATAATACATGTTCATAAAAAGGGACATCAATGTCAGCTTGTGGTAACTGGTAAGTTACCAGCTGAGTGAGAAGGTACATACAATCTCTCACAGATGTCGCTACGGTGTCGAAAAACCGAAACCTCAGTGGAAAGATCTATAACAGACACCTAGAAGAAATTCGTCGACGAGTCGCTTATTTAGTGAAGCAATGGGTACGGAATTCCGTGGCCACAGGTTCGAGTCCTTTCGGGTCTAAGGATATTTTTCTTTGTTTCCGATCTTTGTATTTAATAATTATAACAAACTAGTGGACTTATTTCACAAAAATAAAAAAGAATCAATAAATTGTTTATAATATTCTAAATTGCTACACAAAGAAAAGATAAACACAATGAGAACTTTCTAAAATTTACTATTTGTTATTTATATCACTATTCTCACCTGTATAGTCTGACAACTGTTTGTAAGTAATATTTTTTTCCTAAAATTGGTATCACTAAGATATTTAGTAGACCATTAACATGGTATATATCTTTTCAAGAAATAATAACGTCAATCTATGCCATATAAGATTGGTATTTTTTAAGAAGTAGTTATTAACTTAACTATTGGGGATATAGGCGGAGACAACATGTACACTCTGATGAAGCCCGTGGGTGCGGGCGCGCTCGGCGCGGAATTTCCGCTTGCGGGTGAACACGGCCCCCAGCCGCACTCCATGCCGCAGCCGCCGCCCGCAGAAGGTGTGCATTGGGCTCTAATTGTAGCTAATGATACTCAACACGTAATTAAAACTCTTAAAATTAAGGATAATAAGAAGTGTTCCTTAATGACAACACAAGTTTCATTTTGGTCGTTTAATACCCAAAGCAAAGGCAACCTAAGCAACACAAAAAAAACACCAAATTACAACACATTTTCGAACATTGACTTAGGATGTTTAATGAGGGTTAGGGCGCGTTCCCATTGTGTCGTCACGTTTTATTTATCGTTGGACGACTGTCGCGTCTAGCCTGTTCCCATATCACGGCTATATGTCGTGACTGTGTCGTGGATGTTTCTTTGGGTGTAGTTAAGCGAAAAGGATCCAATACACAAAATTATCAAAAAATGTTCCACACAGTTCCTAAACTCAAACTTTTAGTTAGTCCAAAACAATCCAACATACAAACGTAAATAAATATCTCTGGAGTTACATAACATTATAAGTTTTCAAAACAAAACAAGAGTGAGAAACACAAATAAACTTCAAACTTTGTCGTTAAACGACTGTTTGTAGCTGTTTCGACACTTTATCGGTACACGGCAGCCACCTTGTCGTTTGCACGACAGAATCGTTTGAAGCTGCGATTATCAGTCGTCACATTTTTATTGTCGGATCATTGTCGTTCTAGCTCTGCCAATTGACACGACAGTCTGTCGTAGGCTTTTACACATAAACACGTTACGACGTCGCGTGCTACGACGCGGCATCGTTTCACGATGCGACGTCGTATCGTGGAAATCTCCAACGAGTAACGAAAAAATTCCTAACACGACATCGCAACGTGTCACAACCCACGACACGACGTCGTATCGTAGAAACTCACGGTGCGCTCCCCAGTGCCGCATTCATTCAGTCGTGACGTGCGTCGTGCCACGGTGCGAGTCGTGAATTTTTTTTACGTTGCTTATCGTGGATTTCCACAATACAACGTCGCATCGTAAAACGATGCCGCGACGACGCGACGTCGTACCGTGTTTATATGTAAAAGCACCGTCATTAAAGTCGCGAACGACAGTTAATCGTGTTGTAGTATATGTGAGCAACTTCATTTAAATATACAAACCACGACTCTTTAAACTGCACGACTATGTGTCGTCACGACATAATGGGAACGCGCCCTTATTACACATAAATAGGAACGAATTGAAACATACATTTTTGTGGAATTCGGAAACACCATCGGGGCATCCATAGATTTATAATAATATTTTATTATTGATACGAAAAATCTTTCGATCTAACTGGACTCTTGTTTTTATACTACCAAGTGACGAGACGAACAAGTCGTGCGCCTGGTGGTAAGCGACACGCCTGTCCATAACGGTTTCAGTGCCACTCAGAGCTTTAAATGGCAAAGATCTGAACGGCACTACCACTGCGCCCATCACCCTGAGACATAAGTTGACAAGTCCCATGTGCCTGTAATTTCACCGGCACCCTACCCTTCAAAACCGGAACACAGGAATGCTGACATTACTGCTTGGCGGCAGAAATGGGTAATGGCACTACCCTGAATGATCTCAAACACGTTTGTTACCACAGTCAAAAGTTGCGCGCTAAAATTTGCAAACTGTGAAAAAATAAAAATAAGAAAGACGGCTACGATTCGGTAGGGATTCGACATTCCGCTTATTCAATGTCGATTCTGTTAAGATGATATTACACTTGGTCTTAGTTAATGTCGTTGAAAGTGCTCATGCTACGGTAAAGTGGAGAAAAATGATCTTTGTTTTTATTAATTTGTGCTGAAGCAAAACTTACAAAACCTCATATTATTATTATTCATACATACAAAGATCTAAGAACATAATGGAAATTTCCTTCTATAGGATTGGACTCGAACCAACTAAGCTCAACAGATCAGGACAAACTAGTACAGCATTTTCTCACAAAAAAAAACAATTGGGAGTAAAGGATCATAGGGTCGTCTTCTATAACTCTACTCAATGCTCAAGTCAGGACTTGAGTATGATTCAAAGCACTAGAAATCATACGCAAGTCCTTGCCAATAGGGTCGTATTTCCAGTGCTCGAAATCATACTCAAGTCTGCTCAAATCCTGACTTGAGCATTGAGTACAGTTCTGGAATACGACCCGTAGTATTCAATCAAATAAATTTAAACCTCTGGCTTCAATACTAATTCTAATTAGTACCCTTAGAGCTCCTTGTGAAAGAGTTCATCCAAGGAAATACCGCCACTTCACCTATTTCTGCCGCCAAGCAGTAATCTAAGCATTACTGCATTCCGGTTCTGAAGGGTAAGGGTGCTGGTGAAATTACAGGCACATGGGACTTGTCAACTTATGTCTCACGGGCGCAGTGGCAGTGTCTCTCAGATCTTTGTGATTTAAAGCTCTGAATGGTACTGCAATTAGATATTATAAAAAAAAAAACTATATCATCTCATTTTTTACAATGAATGGTGCGTGCTGCCCGCGTGTGTACTGCGAGATTAATGCGCATGTGGACATCCGTACACGGCGCGCGGGGTACATGCACATATTCAAGAAGTTACACTACTTGTTTTATTATACTATGCTAGTATCATATGCATAGAAATACCGTAAAATATTTAAAAATGTCATTCTATAAGCCAAAAATACAAGGATTTATGCTAAATATGAATAATGTTCCTTATGGATTGAGTTTTAATTACGTGTAATTATTTCGTTCCTTGCGCTAATGTACGTAACTTATAATTTTGAAAATTGTACAACGCGTCATTCTGAATTGGACTATGTAAAAAAAATCTTAAGTTACGTCCATTCGGAATTAAGTGGACGATGTTAAGATATAGTCGGGGATAGTACAACACCGCATATCGACTGTGAACTGGCAACCGGTACTATCACAATTTTGACAACTTTACAGATATCAAGAGAAAAAAATTTATGTTGCATCTGGTTTATTAAATAAAAATACGTAGTGTACATACATACAAGTGTAATAAAAATATCTAAAAACTACATATTTTATTTAATAAATCAGATGCTATAAATGACGCAAACAATTTTTTTCTTCATCCTGTAAAGTTGTTGTACCGACTGCCAGTTCACAGTCGATATATAGCATTGGTAACAAGCGCATATCTGTACTAAGCCAAATTTTACATGAGAGGGATTTAAAGTTATTACTTTCTTATTTCAATAGCTGGCTTTACACAGACACTATCGCGCGTGTAAAAACGTTGGAAGGAAAAGGTAAAGACCGCGCAATTGCGCACTTTAACTTTTAACGCGGTCTATTCTGCGCTATTAGCCTTTAGTTTTCGTTGTAACAAAAACGAAGACGAGCAATCGCCCGCGAAATAACGTTAACTGTACGCTCCTGGGGGTCGATTTAGAACCTTACGATAACTCAGATGTGGACCGATATCATTTTTATTCACAAAACCCGAATCGAACGTCAAATTGTCGTATTCGAAACCATACCGAAATGACGTCACACCCGTACGATTTCTCGAACTTCTCGACCGGCAAAGGCTACAAACGTTATTCAGAACACAGTTATAGAATGAAAGTAAGGTTATTGAATGTTCTATTGTTCACAAAGCAAGAATGTAATATGGAAATCTCTTATTATTTTAAATAGTCAGGATTTTGTTCAATTTTATTAATTAATTTTAGTGAAAAACAGAAAAATTCCTATATTTTAGACGTTTAAAGTCCAAACTCATGGTACCACGATTTCGTTTAACCAAGGTAAACAACTCTTTTATGGGGAACTGTATACGTTTTTACAATAAGATTCCGGAGCATATATTAAGTTTATCAATTCCTAAGTTTAAAAACTACATTAAAAATATTTTGATCGAAAAATCATATTACAAAGTTGAAGACTACGTGTTAGATAAAGATGTATGGAAAGACGACATGGCTCCAGAATCCACACAAATTTGATTCAAAGTGTATTCCATAGCATTTAAGTTTATTTCAAAAGAGCAATCCCTAGAGTTTCTTGCTCGTTCTTCTCAGGGAGGTCAGCGTAGTGAACGAGCAGTAGCTTAACTGTGACGTTTTCAAGTGTAAATTTATTTTACCTATGGAATAAATAATCTTTGAGTTTGACTTTGACTTAAAAATATGGATTAGACAGATTTTCATTCTTCTTACAATCTATTTCACCGACTAACTCCGTAAAGGTTTTTGGATAACAATATCGTATCTTCATCCGGATCGAAAGTTTAACTCGAACGTTGTGAATAGCTCGGAGAGCGGCCTTCGATTCGAGAACGACGTCCAATCGAACAATCCGGTTAAAATATCGAAAAGTTCTGAATCGGATCAAGAGTGACTGTGTAAAGCGGGCTAATGACTACGGCTTCCATTTTTGCGCAATTTATGTTGTCTACGGGCTGGTAACAATAGACACCCGTAGATCACGCTAGTTTGATTGCCAATTTACGCAGAATTGGTTTGGCTAGTAAATTACCGATAATCCAATGCTAGTAACGCGTAATTGCACTGTCCCCGACGATATGTAACTATAATACTAAGCTTTTATTGTTATCGCAGCGAATTTTAAATATCTCGTCTCTCTCCTCACTAGCTAACGTATCTTAATTTTGTATAAATAACTCATTAAATATGGACACGAGCTAGAAGTTCAAGATGTAAAAAACTACTTCATACGTTGCCGTGAAAAGTTGCCAAATTCTGCTTATGACAGTTAATCAAGAGAGGGACAAGATTTGTTATAAAATGTAACAAACATATTTTTAGAACTAATACGACACTAAGAGTCGTATTCTAGAACTCTACTCAATGCTCAAGTCAGAATTTGACCAGACTTGAGTATGATTTCAAGCACTGGAAATACGACCCTAATGGCAAGGACTTGAGTATGATTTCTAGTGCTTTAAATCATGCTCATGTCATGACTTGAGCAATGAGTAGGGTTCTGGAATACGACTCTTAGTCTTATGTAATAGATATAATTTAAGATATAAGTGACCCTTTGCATAATGAACGATAGTTATTAAACTTTTTTGGGTGTATATTGAGAATCGACATTATAGGTTACAACATTCGACATTACATATATGTCGCTGCCTTTATAAACTAATTTAGTATTGTAGAATACAGCGATTTTGGAACTCGCATGCAGCTACGAGCAGAGCAAACGAAACTTTAGCGTGAAAAAAGATGGAAGTAAATGACATAGGAATTGAAACTATTTTACTAAAACGCTTATATTTGTTTTTTCAAACAATCTTTGCAAGTCCCGTGGTCACGGTTGACCGCTGTGAGCATGGAACAAGTAAACAGCATTGGTTTATTTACGAACAAATAAGAATAAGCAATTTAGATCCGAAAAAATAGTTTCATTTCCTATGTGCAACAATCGCGAAAAGAATATATTTAATCGTGTAAAATAGCTCCGCTTGTGTTAAATATTTCTTTTTCATGCAGTAAATTTTTTCACCCTCTCTTCCGGGGAAATTAATAAAATTAATAAAACAAGCGCTTCAGTCACAAATATCACCACCAAGAATATACTCGACACGTGTTTCGCATCTCTACGAAATATCTTCAAAGGTTCGACTCGCGGCCGAAGAATGGGCGAGCTTTCTGAGCTCGCGGTTGATCATATTTATGCCCCATTACCATCGTTAAGCACTCATCTTTTATGCATAAGAATTTATTTTATTTACGATAAAGTTTCTCTTCCTCTGCTCCACGCTGTATGTTTAATTCCAAATCGTTATATTCTGAAATACTGCGTTATTGTATAAAGGCAGCGACATGTGATTAGTTGACAATTAGTTCGATATTACGACAAGCATAATGTCGATCGTTGTGAAACTATAGCTGACGTTGACAGATTATATTGCACCCTTATTAATAAATTGACCTAATTCGAAATTTTTGAAAAATAGACAAAAAAAAATTATAAAAAATCTATTGCACATGAAAAGCGACATATAATTCTTATTTGGTTGTTCCCTATTTAAATTTTTTTTGTCGGATTCCCAACAATAGTACTTTTTGATTACGTCATTTTATTATTGAGTTTGCAATATATAGGTACGGTAGGGATAGCACGACAGTTATTTTATGTCGTTCTCGCGCAAGTCGCCCCCTGTCGTGCTAGCCCTACAGATGTCTCCTACATTTATTTGTCATCGTTCATTTAGCAAAATAAACAAGAGAGAATGAAGCAAAATTATAAAAGGAAATTTACTGTTTTAGTTTTTTTTGTCACGTTTATAATACCACATTCAACAACGTGTGGTAAAAGACAAATTGTTCAAGTTTCGTTTTAGTGGCCATGAGAAGTAGTAACAATTCTAAAACATAGAATTGTTTCTTGTTTTGATAACTACTATACTATCGATAGCGTCTTGTTTAAAAACCTTCCAAACCACAAAATTCTATCGATAGTTTATTATCGAACAGCACTAGTCCTATATTTGAGAAATGTGACTTGGGCGTTGTGACACGAGCTGCATTCCAATTGCACAGTAATTGCAAAAACTGCCGCTAGGTTGGAATGCAATTGGTGCAACTGCCAACTAACGTAGTGTTCCTCATCTCACTGTCGTATTTGCTATTTTTTTGTCGTAACTGTACAAGACTTACGAAACTTTCAAAAGTGAATATTTGTAATTATAGACAATTGCCTTAAACATTACTAAATACCTACAACAGTTAGGAGAGGGACGAAATAGACCAACTAACAGCAGCCGACTACATCCGAACTGCCTTCCAACTGCTATTACACAATTATTGTGCAGTTGGAATACGGCACGTGTTACTGCGCTCTTAATTGGTCAATAATATATATAGGTAATTAATTAGTCATATTGTGAAGTTTGTATACTATCGTTTTAGATTACTATTAGCTAGCAGCTTATTGATTTTCCAAAAATGTGTGACGTCATAATTTTTGGCTCAGGTCTTGGCGGCGTAGACGGTATGAAGTCGTCACCAGGTGGCGTAGGAGGCGGGGGGCCGGGCACCCCCCGGGAAGACTCAGGGTCGGGCATGGGAGACTACAACCTCAGTGAGTATACTTTCGATTGAATAGATTGTTTGTGAAAAGCATAGACCGAGTTTTTGTTCATCCAAAAACCTCTTGATTCCTTTTTTTTGGTTGATGCAGACGACGGAAAATAAAGTGACCATACTTTTTTTACTGAGTAAAAAGAATCAACAGTCACAGCCTTTTGTTAAATACAACAATAAAAGAGCTTCAATATTTTTTTAATTCACACAATTAGACTTATGGAAATTGTACAAAATATTTTTTATAAACGTCGTCTGCGTTACGCCTTAGGGTATAGTCGTACGAACTGCATTTCAACTGCATTCCAATTGCAAAATAACAATTGGAAACAAGGAACGCCGTTGGCGCGACAGCACGTGCAACTGCTAGCACAGCTGGCGTGCAGCCTCGCCGACGATATCCTAACAGCTTCCCAACAGTCATTTTGCAATTGTAAAGCTGTCGAAAAGCAGCTCGTGGTTATACATTTACAGTCACGAGATTTTTAAAATTACTTATTGCCAACTTTTCAACATTACTATTTAAATAAGACAATCAATTAACATTTACAAAAACTAAGGCATTTAAAGTATTTTTATCTATCTTGAAAAAATTAAATTTGAAAATAGTCACAGATTATAAAAAAAACACAGACAAAAAATTACACTGATTTATTACAATGATTATTACACAAAATAGAGTATATAACCAGAAACAGAGACGAAATGTCATTTAATTTGTTTGAAAACTATTCTGCCAAATCATTACGGTGTCAACTGCGCTCCGATTGGCTAGCCTGAATTCGAAACAATTGACGGGTGTCGTCAATTGTTTCACTTCAAATCGATTAGTTTAACTTGAGCTTTCCTATAATGGACGAAAATTGAAAAATTACATATTTAGTAATTAACTACCGATGAATGTGATTCCGTTACTTTTGTAATTAGATGTTTTTCCCACACTACCGAATGGAACAGCACGTTATTGTAAGAGATATTATCTTTATTACAATAAATACAGATTATTTTTGGAATATACGGAGACGTACACACAGGTCAGTAGTTGGCCTGTCTATGTTTCAGTGCAAACGGGAGTTGATATTTATAAGTGATATAAGGCCCATTTGCCTGATTAGTTACCAGGAATGTACGGCCCTTATTTCGTCTCTATTTCTGATGATATAATCGATTTATCACAATACAGACTAGAAAACACTTCTCGCTCACACAGCGATTAATAATTTAAATATAACTCTTCGAATGGATGCGATGTTTCACTGCACTAGGTACAGACACAAAAATCAGGAAAGCGATATTTAGATACACCAAAATCAGAGATTCTTGAATTTTTTTGGTTTAAAATAAATTCTAAGCTACCAACATAACAAAACAATGCGGGAGACGTTCGTTCCATTATCAATAATTTTGATTGTAATTGTTATTTTAACTAACGTGATTTTAATTTATGTTTTCTGAAATTACTCCACTAGATAACTATTAATACAAAGATCTAACACAAAGAAAAATTCTTTCAATCTGACAGGACACGAACCAGTAGTGCGTGCGATTCACGCAACCAAAACCGTTACGATATCGTAGCTATTTAGGCGTTGAACTGCTTTTTCGTATTCACGTGTGACAGTGAACGTCAAAAAGTCCAATTTTAAAGTTGTTCCATCCAAATGTCGTTAAAGCGTATTCTGGTATATGAATCGAACTTAAATTGATTCTAAACGACAAGTTTGACAGTTCTTTCGACGGCTGAACGTCAAATTTCACAATCAAAGATGTCGTTCATTAATCGTTACGTTTCGATTCTATTTATATCAACGTTCGTTCAAGTGATACGTGAATATCAATTTTGAACAGGACTTCGATCGAACGACTACGTAACTTCAACGATATTTTGATAGCTTGAACTTACGTGAATCGCACTACAGTGCTTGTGTCATACCAGAGCGGCTAATCTGCTAATATTTTTGAAACCACTGGTGACTGTAATTCCACTGAGATTGTTGTAATTATGGCATACTCCGTCCAACCATATAGTTTAACTTTTGACATCTCGACTGTGAACGGTCAATCGGTATTATCTCAATTTCGACAACTTCACAGGTGAAGAAAAAAGAAATGTAATCAGTAACCACTAATTTTATTGCATTTCACAATGTAAAAATGTTATGTAAAAATGTAACGCCTGTTGGGCGTAGCAATTTTGGTAGAATTAATAAAATAATATCGGAGCTAAAGAGCACGTCGCTTCACTAAAATTAAAAAATTAAATATTCCATGCCGTATTGCATTTTGTTGTCTATGGTTATATGTCAATAATTACGGAATTTCCGAGGCATGCATATGCATGGCATACCCTTCTGTTTAAAATGAAATAAACATTCCATGATTTCCCTTCAAAATACTCGTTTACCTCTTATTGGAAGACCGATTATAAAAAAAATGCAATGGCAGTTGAAAAGTAACTCCATGGCTTTCCACTGAGAAGCCATAACTCTTAACGTTTAGCAAAATATCAAACGTACAAAAACCTGCCATTGACACTGTATCCACCCATAACTGAGATTATTCCATAGCAGACTGGACCCGGGGCGACTGTCCCGTCAGGTTGAATTAATTTTCCTTTGTACTCGATCTCTGCATTAATAATTCACTATGTCTCATTTTTATTTTAAGCCAAAAAACACAAGCGAATAATGTAAATATTTCACAAATTCTATTATTATATTGATTAATAAAATTTACTACCCCTCGATGTGGTGAGACATGGATAGAAATCCGAAAAGCAGAAGACATAGAACACTTTCAGGAACAAATACAATTCACTATTCAAAACGGAATTTTGAATTTTCAAAATTGCAAACATGACACTTTTTAAAAAAAGCTTAGCGATCGAATTCGAACATCAAAACGGCGTCGCATCAATTCGAAGAATCTGAGAAATACTGAAGAGTTAGTATGAAACTCATTGTCAAAGGTTTCGGAGGCCCGGGCGGCGACCAAAACGACCAAACCGAGTCGGCGGCCATCTTGAAAATCAAGGAAAGCATGCAGGAAGAAGCAAAACGGTTCGAAAAAGATCCAGATCACCCGGATTATTTCATGCAGTGAACGTCCAAACCAGAAAGCCAGCTTACCAAAAAAAAAAAAGTCGGTACAGTTCTTCGGTCTCTTTGGTATATTTTTCTCTTTTCTCATGATCTCAAATTCAGTTTGGTAAGGTTGGCACTATTGCGTTTCAACGATCTGAGAAAAAAACGAAAATATTTTAGCTGCGTCTTCTGCTTTTTTCGCATGTATATATTTATTTCTATTATAACAATAATATTTTCTTACACGAACGTTTTTAAATATTTCCTAACTTTTTTAATTTCAATTTTTTTTCGAACTTCACACGCTGGTAGATAGGCCTCTGTTAAGTCCCCCATATACAGCCGAAACCTCGTTTCGATCGATAGTCACGATAATCCAATAATTTCGCTGCAGGATATTATGGAGTAATTTTCAAATTATAATTACTTTTCTCCATCTAAGTTTGGTGACAATTTTTATTTTTAAATATTCAAGTATATTGTCCTGAAATATTAAATTAGTATTTAATATTAATTATTAAATCGCATTTCAAGATACCAAACTCGAATATTAAATAATACGTGACGGGACGAACAAGTCTTGTGCCTGATGATAAGCGACACGCCTGTCCATGACAGTCACAGTGCCACTCATTTGACATTGTATACTACTTGGCGGCAGAAATAGTAAGTACTTCCCTGGACGAGCTCTTTCACAAAAAGTTCTGCTGCTAATATTCCAGAATATTTCAATAAAAAAATGACAGACACATCTAACCTGACATTCACCTTTGAGTTGTCACCTTACTCATAAACACAAAAAAAATTAGGAAATATTTAAAGAAAATCAACAAAAAAATGCACATGGTAGTAAAGTGGAAACTAGGTAAAGTCTTAATTAGTGATGTTTCTGTGTATTATCTATATATTTAGTTGCATAGATTTTTATTTCGAATAAATAATTATTATGTATGTATTTCGTATACATAGGTATTTTTTTAAATTTTAATTATGTGACTTTGAAAGTTATCTACTTTGAAATGGACAAGTTGTGATTGTAACTTGCAATAATCATCGGCGGAGATTTGGTTGTGTTGTTGCACAGTTCTTTCTGAATTGTAGGCCTCGGAGCCGTTCGGGTTTTTACGGAAATTGACGATTGCGTTACAAGATGTGATGCGCTGTTACATTTGAGGCTATCAGCGCATAAGTGACGTAACCCACGTTTAAATTAAAAACGTGTATTTTTTTTATATCAACTTAACACAAAAAATCACGAGAAAAAGAAAGTAAATATATGTAGTGTAGTTTATAAATATAATTAAGGTTTTTTTTCAAATGCGGTAGCGCCTCCTGGACAGTATCAACGCCCTCCGAGGCCACTACCTCTAGGGCTCTTCAGCGCCCATCCAGTGGCGGTAGGGTCCACTCGGGGAAACTATGCTCTATATGATACCGCAAAGTTCATAATCCATACTAATTATTATCTGTTCCGTTTTCACCCCTATACCGCTGAACCAATATGGATGATTTTAACGGTACCTTTACCTCAACTGACGTAGATGCCGCTTTTTGATCAAATGTATTATTGACAATTTTTGAGAAATAACTCCAATACTTTTGTTATTATTACGAATGCAAAAATCGAATACATGGAAAAAAACACATATATTGTGGAAAATAAATTATATATGGGTTACATCACTTTTGCTCTGATAGCCTGATTTAATCTGGAGTTTATTTTTGATTTCTCAAAATTAGAACCTGAATTGACGGAATTTGCATCGTCCTTCTTGATGCGTACGTACGTCTGTTTCTCGGCTAGATTGTATAGGCATTGGCTAGATACAAAAATACAAGTAAGTTATCTTGCTACTCCGATAACCCAGTAAGGTTAAATCGTTTAAAAATAACCGCGTTTGTGTTGAATATTTTATTCATAAAATTAATTTTTCCACACACTCTCATCATTCTTGTTCTTATAAGGTAATTTACGAGTGTACATGGTTGTTTATTAATTACAACCTCCCGGAACTATATAATTAATATCATAAATAACTTTCAATTGTATAAGTGGGACAGGTGTACTATCCATTAAAACAGAAAAGTAAACAAACCTGTTTGGTTAAAATTCTAAACCAATCACTCAATAAATGGAATAAGTAATACTTTCACCTATATTTTGAAGATTTCGACTTGATATCTCATCTCTTTTTCCAGCAATATTCATTATAACATATCTTATTTGAAGAATGTTAGTTCAAAAGTGAGGTTAGTAATCAAATATAGATTTGTGAATAGTCTATGGTTGCATAGGGCTGTACGGAAACAACTCATTCGGTTCATTCAATTAAAGTTTTTGTAATCGATTAGTGAATCGAAGATTTAATGACAAATGAACGAATATGTAATTGTATGATTTCAAGGAGAATTTTCGAAAGTTTTAAATTTGCTTTTATAGAAAAAAAATTCTAATCTCATGTATGATCATCACTCAATATTGAATCACATATCAGTGCCTCCAGTGAAAAAGGGAATAACTCAAAATCGACACTTTTCAGGAGAGGCAAAAAACCATTCTTTTATTGATTATTGGTTTATCACATTTATAGCTTTAGGTATACATCTACGCTTTCGTTTAATTGGTATTAGTTAAGCATTCAGTCACATTTTCTATATATTTTTTAGGCTTTTTTCAAGTTGTGTCCTTGTTTATGAATGCTTAACGGTAATAACACGACTTAAGTTAACAAACTTTAAGACATTATTCGACTTATTCCCTTAACTGCGACCGTCCGATAGCTATAATAACACTACACTAACCACATTGATAAAAGACATAAAATCATTAAAGAAATAAAACACAAGTTTTCTGTTGCGAACTATTAACCAATAGCAACACGGTATAGTCGCGGGTACGACCAATCCTGTCCAGTGTAACAAACGTAATGCTCAGTTATACCTTTATGTACACTGTGGAATAAGGCAATAGTCACTTTTAGTCCTATTTTTTTCCTAGTCATTATCGTACAATACGAAAAGTGTCTTTATGAAAAAATATATCTATCTGTACTTAGTCGTTAAACCTGCATGTATTTTTTGAGTTGAGATCACTTGTACCTTTAGACTCGTAAAAAATGCCCGATGGATAAAATTATGCCTTTAAAAACAGTGCAATAAGAAAAACGACGTTAGGAGACTTCTAGAGAGATGTCCTATTGATATGTTATGTAACCGATCACACTGAAGCCAATGGTGCAATAAAAACAAAAAGGCATAACTCGTCTAATTCCGTTTTTCACTGGAGGCACTGATATATTTGATCGTAATCAGCACTGAAATCGCAAAAACCATTTTATTATATATAAAACCCGGTTATTCGAACTGATTCAATTAAACGAATCGATTCATTCAATTATTTATCGATTTGTAGTTGGCAGTACAGTTGGCCATCACTAAACTGTCAATAATCTGTTTGTTTTCTTTTCTGTTCCAATCCATTGTAACAGACTTTAGTGCCTCTTATACCATTACAACTATAAATGGGACAGGTTGTTACCACTTATACCATTTAATGGTATAATTCAATGGTACAACTGGTTTGAAGGGTGTTTGACACTCAGCCGAAGAATCGCTCGCTCAGAAGGGCTCCCCATACTTATACACCTCACTATTCCTTAATATTATTATAGTTATAATTTGAAAAATCCGAGAAAATTAACTGGATGAAAAAAAAAATCGGCAACAAGCGTTACTATTATGCACGATCGAACCTTCACTGTGTTCGCGAAGTTGCAAATTAATTTACTTTCATTATTAACACAGATTATCGTAAATTGACAATAACATCTGGTGAGATGAGGTATACAGGGTGTAATCGTTAAGTGTGCCCAGGCGATTATTCCGCACATAAAAGAGATACTGATATCGAAAGTACATTGCCTAATAAGTAAATCGACATCAATAAATTTTTAAAAATAATACTAAACACATCATAATTTTGTCTTTAAACAGTCACATAAATTTATTATAACATTCGTGGAGAGGCTTTACTTGACCTACTTTAAAAGGTAACAATAAGTTTACAGATAACGAAACTGCTATACATAAAGTAATAAAACTATCGTTTAAACGAATAAAAGCAAAGTGATGTTTATTAATGAGTTAGTACAAAATTTTGTATTCCAATCAGTTGTTCGACTCTGAAGCCTTTCTACGAATGTCACACACACTGTATGAGAGCGTTTGATGATAAAATTTTTGATGTTTTTAGTTTTATTTAAAAAAAATTGTTGTTGTATTTTTTTCTCATTGCTTTCGGTATGTTTTAAAGGATTTAAATATCCCTTATATTTACGGAATAATCGCCTGGGCACACTTAACGATTACACCCTGTATAGCCAAGCGTACGACTATTATTTAAAAAACTGCAAAATGTATACTATTCCTGTAGGGAGGGAACTTGTCATTATGCAGTAATTTCATAACTGATAAGGGATCTTCTTTTTTTTTTATTAGTCAGTTTTTTTCCTGGAAGGTACGATTTTAACCCTTATACAGGGTTATTTGTAAAATGTGAACAACATCGCAGGACTACGTTACTAACATCATAAAGAACGAGTTTGTTCTATGATTTTTTACAAAACATACTAAATTTACCAAAAATAAACTTCTAAGTTTTTGTTGTACACACGCCAGCACATCAAGCTAGACATTGACGTATCTTGTTCCGTTGCTCTGGAGGCAATTTTCGAACAAAAATGTGTAGTCTGATGTGCCGTTGTCCGTACTATCTGACACTTGAGATATGTATATGGTAGTAAATACTCCAGTATTACGCATCGTGCCGCACAAAGTTATCACCATTTAAAGCAATCTTTTTACATGTTTTTTATTTTTGTAACATAGTAAAATTTCATGAATTTTTAAAACTCACGGAACAAAAGTTGTTGTTCATGATGTTAGTAATATATTTCTGCAAGGTTGTCAGTATTTTACAAAACACCCTGTATAAAGTCGTTATAGGTAAGACCTCGTCTGTTTGTTTGTATGTATTTGTCTGTGGCATCGAATTGACTATAATATTTCAAGTTACAATCGAAACGACAACATAGTGCTTTTGCACAAATTTTTTTATAGTTGATTTTTAATTTT